CAAGGGACAATTTGGGTCTACTGACATGCACGGTTCAGACCCGGGTTGTCACGTGATACTCTGTCATTGGACACCTGATGCAAATTCGTATTAAGTGTCCTAATGCAATAATTTTTCTTCATATGTGCATCAACGGACGATCGAATACGAATAGCCGAGAGCGAGCGGCCAAACACAAATAGAAGAGAGATCAATACTACGAGCAAAAATCTCCCTCTCCTTTCTCGTACTATCTCTTAGATGTGTTTATGTGATCAGCCCAATTATGCCAAACTCATATGTGGAGAAATTATTGACTTCAGGTATCCAATAACAGGGAGTCAAGTAGCAATTTGGGTCCACTGACATGCACGGTTGAGGCCCAAGTTGCCACATGATACCCTGTCATTGGACTCCTGATGCAAATTTGCATTAGATATCATGATACAATAATTTTTTTTCTCATATGTGCATCAACGGACGATAGAATACGAATAGCCGAGAGCGAGCGGCCAAACACAAATAGAAGAGAGATCAATACTACGAGCAAAGATCTCCCTCTCCTTTCTCGTACTATCTCCTAGATGTGATTCACGGAAAAAAATGAGATTCCATGTATAATTAAATACATAGGAATTGGAGGGTGTTTATGTAAATGTCTAAATATAAAATTGGAAAACTTACACACATACCATAAAATTTCTATTTATTTACATATATAACACCTAAACATTTATATTTACATTTATAAAATTTTTGTGTGATAAACTATGCATGACAAATGAGTTTTTTGGTATTTTTTTAAATGCTATTAAGGATATGACTGACATGTATCTAAATATTAAAATTTGGGGGCTAGATATGTAAATACATAAGAATTGAGCGGTATTTATGTAAAATTTATTTTACTTGAAAAGTAAAATGATGGTAGAAGTTACATTTCTGGCTAGTGAAATGACAGCAACCAAATACCAAACATGGCTGCTAAAAACATTTGCTGGTGGCTTTGAAAACATGCAGGGAAGAAGACAATTCATTATTTGTAGCATTTAAGACAAGAAGGGCTCCATTGTTTCATAATGCAATTTCATGGAATTTTGGGGGTCTAAATTGCAATTTCTTGCTTTTAAAATTAGGTGAGTAATATATAGTAATAAATACATGCAACATTTTTTTATGATATATATCTATATATATATATATATTGAAAAAAGTGAAATCAATATTTGGTTATGTGGGCACCAAATCACCAAATATGATTCCCCCAAAGGGTTGAAAACTCTGATGTGCTTACTCCTGATTCAAATGGCCCGCGCCACGAGATTCGAACCCCCGACCCAAGAGACTTACGCCAGAGGCCGCACCAATGATTCAGGTCATTCGCACATATTTTTTATGACAAGCATATATGATAATATTTTTGATGTGATACGAAAGATATCAGTTGTATAAAGATAATATGTATATTAAAATTATTAGATATAGTAGAACGTGTTAAAATAATCTCTAATTATTTATATGAACTTATTTGTAGTCTCAGAGTTTATAGAAGTGTCAAAATAATATCCGATTATTTTGAAATTTTAAGACTTCTACAAATTTTATGATTTCATATAAATAATCATGTTATTTTTACGCATTACTAATTAAATTTGTGAA